GGCAAAAGAAACTGCTGCAGCCTCTTTTTGCATGCCTTTTCTGATTCATTAATAACCCTTGCCATCTTGCCCACACTGAATTTGCTTAACCAGATATATCTTGGTTTTCAGCTGTGAAATGTTGGAGGATATCACATTTTGCCTTGATACTTTTACTTGTGACTGATTGGGAAACAAAGTATTGTGCACAATATAAACAGTGCATTCATTCGTTAGCCTATTTGTCTTACCACTAGGATTTGCCAATGCTTATTTCCTTAGAAGAATATCTCCATATCTATTGTTTGTTCATATTTGTCATAATTCCCCATCCTCATTACACCACAGAAAAGCCTCTATTGTGTTAGGTTAAATGGTTTAATTCCAGGGAATAAATATTCCCACTATCCATCTAGTTTTCTGCAGAAAGGGGAAGATACCATAGGTATATTTTAATTAATCTATACTATACTATCTGACAGACAGAGGATAAATGCACCTCCTACATTGTCCCCCATTTTCTTCTATTATTAGGAGGAAAGTGTTAAAGTTAGCAATATTTGCATACTTATTATACTAATTGCTAGTTTGCATGTTTGCTGACTTCTTGTTTGCTTGTTTTACCATAGCCTTTCTCTTCCTGAACTCCTGTAGCATGTATCCATTTTCTCTTCCTTGTCTATCATCAATGTATTTATGTACAACTTATTACAAGTATATATATATATATATATATATATATATATATATATATATATATGCACATCTACTTACTTAGAAGTACAGATAAATTAGTTTTATATATTCTACAAAAAGGACAAAACTGTTTCTTCTCTTTGTTAGACTGTTTTCTTGTGAGAACAGGCATGGGAATGGTTCTTGCTTAACTTGTCTCTTACTAATTCAATTACTCTGTTAGAGAGATGATCCATGATCACATTTCTCACATCATCTGGTCTGTTTTGACCCTTAATTCCTCTTTTGAAAGCGAATCAGGTAAAGCATAGAACTTTTGTTTAGGATCCACTTTTCCACTATGTCACTACCATCAACAGATTTTATGATACATAATTATTAATACAGATTCTTTATCTGGAAATCCAAAATACTCTATGATCCAAAATTATCCACATGGGTGGCTGAGACAGTGACAGCTTTACTTTCTGGTGGTTCAATGTACAAATAATAAAATAATAATAATAAAATTTTATTTCTAACCCGCCCCTCTGCAAAGCAATCGGGGCGGCTTACAACAAGTTAAAATACAACAATTAAAACATTCCAAATTCATACACCCCCCACCCACAACCTCACCCCTTAAAATAGAATTAAACTTAACAGAATTAAAATCGGACATATGACTAAATTAAAATGAGCGCAATAATAGTAGCAGCAGAATGCCACTCGGAAGGGAGGACAAGGGGCAGAGTGGGTCCAGATATATTTATCCCTGCAAGGAGGTTATTCTGGGAAGGCCTGCCGGAAGAGCTCCATCTTAACTGCTTTCTTAAAAGTAGTAAGAGATGTACTAAGACGGATCTGATCCGGCAGGCCATTCCACAGTTTAGGGGCAGTAATAGAAAATGTCCTCTGGGAAGTCTGCTTAAGTTTCGCTTTTGGCAGTTGGAGCAGGTTCTTCCCCGCTGAATGGAGGGCACGGGGGGGGATCATACGGGAAGAGGCGGTCCCGAAGATAAGATGGACCCA